CCCCGAGCCCACCTGCGGGGCGCGAACCAGAAGCAGAGTGCACAGCCGCACAGAGCAGCGGACTGACCGGCGCGTGGAGAGGGAGGGCGGCCCCCCGCCTTTCGAGCAGGAACGCAACCCCTGACCACAGTGCTGGGGGGGGCGGGCGCGACCTGCCCTCCTACCTGGCCAGTCTGCAACATTTGACTGCAGCATCAGGAGGGGCAGTGACCGGCCCGCCCACAGCAAAGGAGAGCTGCACCTGACCCACTGTTGGGAGGAGGCACGATCTGCTTGCTGACAGGCACTGGGAGCAGCACAGATGAGGGTGCCAACGGAGGGCCTCTGGAAACAGCAAACTGAGCTTCCAAGACAGGACGAAGACAGAAAAACTTCACATGAAAAGCACACAGTCTCCAGGAGAACATCAACCCCCCCCCCTTTTTTTAAATCTGTTTTTACCTGTTCTATTTTCTATTACCCTCTTAATTTTTACTTCTTAATTCATTTTTATTTTTCTTGGGTTTTGATGTCCTGTTATTGATTATACACAGGTTTCAAATACATCTTTTCATCTTTCCCCCCCTTTTTTTTTAAAGGTTTTAAAAGGATGTCTCAACCCGATTGCTATTCTGCTTCAACTTGCTCTTCTATTATTCATTATACACTGTTTTCAAACCTTTTTTTCTCCCTTCTTTTAAAATTCTTTCTCTCTCTGTCTTTTTTTCTTTTTTTCTAAGTCTTATTCCTACATAGGCATTAGATAGATAAACTCCTTAAGGACCACAATAGATAACTGATACGCCATAAACCACAGTGCCAGAGAGGTATGAGCAAGATGAAGAAGCAGAGAAACCATTCCCAATTAAAAGAACAAGAGAGATCCCCTGAAAGAATGATCAATGAAATAGACATTGATAGCCTACTAGATCAAGATTTCAAAAAAGGAGTGATCAAAGTGCTGAAGGAACTAAAAGAGATAGTGTTTAGAGATATAAAATATGTCAAAAATGAAATTGAAGCTATAAAGAAGAGCCAAGTAGAATGGGTAAACTCATTGACTGAGATGAGGGATGATCTAAAAGCTGTGCAAAGCCGACTAGATAATGCAGAGGAATGAATTAGTGACCTAGAAGACAGGACAACAGAAAGCACCCATTCAGAAGAGCTACAAGATAAACAAATAAAAACAAATGAAAATAGCATAAGGGACCTATGGGATAATATAAAGTGTGCCAATATTCACATAATAGGGGTTGAGAAGGGGAAGAAAGATCAAAGGGGATTGAAAAGGTTTTTGAAGAAATCATGACTGAAAACTTCCCAAACTTAAAGAAGGAATCAGATATCCAAGTACAGGAAGCTCAGAGGGTCCCAAGCAGGAAGAACCCAAATAGACCCACACCAAGACATATCATAATCAAGATGGCCAGAGTCAAGGATAAAGAAATGATCCTAAAGGCAGCAAGAGAAAAGCAAAGAGTAAGTTACAAGGGAACCCTCATAAGGCTCTCAGCTGATTTCTCTACACAAACACTATACGCCAGAAGGGAGTAGCAAGATATATTCAAAGCCCTGAATGAGAAAAAGATGCAGCCTAGGATACTTTATCCAGCAAGGGTATCCTTTGGGATAGAAGGAGAGATAAAGAATTTCACAGACAAGAAAAAGCTGCAGGAGTTTAGCAACACTAAACCCATGCTAAAAGAAATATTGAAAGGTCTACTCTAAATAGAAAAGCAGCAGGATGCTATAGAAATGAGAAACTCACAACTGGAAAGGTGGTAACTCATGAATTACAAATAAAATAAACACGAAATTATAAACATACAAATCACTGAGAGTGGGAGAGGGAGGCAGGGAAGTATAGAATATTTTTTTTTTCTTTTTTAAATTTTTTGTTCTCGGTAGGATGGGTTTGAGATCATGTTACTATCAGTTTAATAAAAACAGTTATAGTAATGGGCTAATAGGTTTTTGAAAAAGGGTAACCACAAGCCAAAAACTTATAAGGGAGTCACAAAAATTAAATAAAATCCATGATAACACAAAGGAAAATTACCAAACCACAAAAGGAAGAAGAAAGGAACAAAGAGGATATACCAATTCAACTGCAAAGATAAGTTCAAAATGGCAATAAACACACATCTATCATTAATTACTGTAAATGTTAATGGACTAAATGCTCCAGTAAAAAGACATAGAGTGGCAGACTGGGTAATAAAGCAAGAACCTTCAATATGCTGCATATAAGAGACCCACTTTAGGGAGAAGGACACATACAGATTGAGAGTGAAAGGATGGAAAAGGATATTCCATGCAAATGGAAAAGCCAAAAAAGCAGGTATTGCAGTAATGATTTCAGACAAAATAGACTTTAAAACAAAGGCCATAAAGAAAGATAAAGAAGGACATTTTATAATGATTAAAGGAGTGATGTAAGATGAGGATACTACACTCGTTAATATATATGCACCCAATATAGGAGCACCTAAGTACATAGAACAATTACTAACAGAGATAAAGGGGGATATTGATGGGAATACAATCATAGTTGGAGATTTTAACACTGCATTAACATCACTAGATAGACCTTCCAGACAGAAAATAAATAAGGCAATGGAGAAATTAAATAATACAATAGAAAAATTAGATTTGGTGGATATTTTCAGAGCATTACACACCCCAAAAATAGGATATACATTCTTTTCAAGTGCACATGGAACATTTTCCAGGATCAATCATGTGCTTGGGCACAAAAGAAACCTCAACAATGTTAAGAAGATAGAAATTATCTCAAGCATCTTTACTGACCACAATGCCATGAAACTGGAAATCAACAACAGAGAAACAAAGGAGAAAACAAGGAAAGCATGGAGATTAAACAATATGTTATTAAAAAAACAATGGGTCTATGAGGAAATCAAAGCTGAAATTAAAAAATACCTTGAGACAAATGACAATGAAAGCACAACCACTCAAAATCTATGAGACACAGCAAAGGCAGTGCTAAGAGGGAAGTTTATAGCAATACAGGCCTTCCTCAAACAAGAACAATCTCAAGTAAACAATTTAACCTACCAGCTGAATGAATTAGAAAAAGAAGAATAAAAAGCCCCAAAAGGCAGCAGAAGGAAGGAAATTATAAAGATTAGGGAGGAAATAAATACAACAGAGATTAACAAGACCGGAGGAAAAATCAACCAAACCAAAAGCTGGTTTTTTGAAAAAGTAAATAAAATCGACAAGCCTCTGGCAAAACCCACAAAGAAGAAAAAAGATCACAAATTAGCAAAATAAGAAAGGAAAATGCAGAAATTACAACAAACAAAATAGAAATACAGAATATCATACAAGAATATTATGAAAAACTATATGGAACCAAACTGGATAACCTAGAGGAGATGGACAAGTTTCTGGAAACATACAGTCCACCAAGACTGAATCAAGAAGAAATTGACCACTTGAACAATCCGATCACTAGAAAGGAAATAGAAATAGCAATTAAAAACCTCCCTACAAATAAAAGTCCACGACCGGATGGCTTCACCGGGGAATTCTACCAAACATACAAAGAAGAACTCATACCAGTCCTTCTCAAACTCTTCCAGATGATTGAAAAGGAGGGAATACTCCCAAACTCATTCTATGAAGCCACCATCACCCTGATACCAAAACCAGGCAAAGACACTACCAAAAAAGAGAATTATACGCCAATATCACTAATGAACATAGATGCCAAAATCCTCAGCAAAATATTAGCAAACAGAATCCAACAACACATAAAAAAGATTATACATCATGACCAAGTGGGGTTCATCCCAAGGACACAAGGCTGGTTCAACATACGCAAATCAATCAATGTAATAACATCACATCAACAAGAGAAAGGACAAAAACCACATGATCATCTCAATCGATGCAGAAAAAGCATTTGATAAAATTCAACACCCATTTATGATAAAAACTCTCGCCAAAGTGGGTATAGACAGAACATATCTCAACATAATAAAAGCTATATATGACAAACCTTCAGCCAGCATAGTACTCAATGGTGAAAAACTCAAAAGCTTCCCACTAAAATCTGGGACAAGACAAGGATGCCCACTATCACCACTCCTATTCAATATAGTCCTGGAAGTCCTAGCCATAGCAATTAGGCAAGAGAGAGAAATAAAAGGGATACAATTGGAAAAGAAGAGGTAGAAGTGTCACTATATGCCGACGACATTTTACTATATATAGAAAACCCTGAAAGGTCCACACAAAAACTACTAGAGCTGATCGAAGAATTCAGCAAGGTAGCAGGTTACAAAATTAACGTTCAAAAATCAGTTGCATTTCTTTACACTAACGATAAATCAACAGAAAAAGAAAGTAAAGAAACAATCCCCTTTAAAATAGCACCCAAAGTAATAAAATATCTGGGAATAAATCTAACCAAGGAGGTGAAAGAATTATACACAGAAAACTATAAACCATTGATGAAGGAAATTAAAGAAGACTTTAAAAAATGGAAAGATATTCCATGCTCCTGGATTGGAAGAATCAATATTGTTAAAATGGTCACACTGCCCAAGGCAATCTACAGATTTAATGCAATCCCTATCCAATTACCCAGGACATATTTCACAGAACTAGAACAAATCATAATAAAATTTATATGGAACCATCAAAGACCTAGAATTGCCAAAGCATTACTGAAGAGAAAGAAAGAGGCTGGAAGAATAACTCTCCCAGACTTCAGACAATACTATAGAGCTACAGTCATCAAGACAGCATGGTATTGGTACCAAAACAGACATATAGACCAATGGAACAGAACAGAGAGCCCAGGAATGAACCCACAAACTTTTGGTCAACTCATCTTCGACAAAGGAGGCAAGAATATACAATGGAATAAAGACAGTCTCTTCAGCAAATGGTGTTGGGAAAACTGGACAGCAGCATGTAAAACAATGAAGCTAGAACACTCCCTTACACCATATACAAAAATCAACTCAAAATGGATCAAAGACTTAAACATAAGACAAGATACAATAAACCTCCTAGAGGAAAATAAAGGCAAAACAATATCTAACATACATCTCAAAAATTTTCTCCTAGAAGAAATAAAAGCAAGAATAAACAAATGGGACCTAATGAAACTTAAGCTTCTGCACAGCAAAGGAAACCATAAGTAAAACAAAAAGACAACCTATGGAATGGAAGAAAATTTTTGCAAATGAAACCGACAAAGGCTTGATCTCCAGAATATATAAGCAGCTCATACAACTCAATTAGAAGAAAATAAACAACCCAACCCAAAAATGGGCAGAAGACCTAAACAAGCAATTCTCCAAGGAAGACATACAAATGATCAAAAAGCACATGAAAAAATGCTCAATATCACTAATTACCAGAGAAATGCAAATCAAAACTACAATGAGGTATCACCTCACACCAGTCGGAATGGCCATCATTCAAAAGTCCAAAAATGACAAATGCTGGAGAGGCTGTGGAGAAAAGGAAACCCTCCTACACTGCTGGTGGGAATGCAGTTTGGTACAGCCACTGTGGAAAACAGTATGCAGATTCCTCAAAAGACTAGGAATAGACTTACCATATGACCCAGGAATCCCATTCCTGGGCTTATATTCAGAAGGAAATCTACTTCAGGATGACACCTGCACCCCAATGTTCATAGCAGCACTATTTACAATAGCCAAGACATGGAAACAGCCTAAATGTCCATCAACAGATGACTGGATAAAGAAGAAGTGGTATATTTATACAATGGAATACTACTCAGCCATAAAAACAGACAACATAATGCCATTTGCAGCAACATGGATGCTCCTGGAGAATGTCATTCTAAGTGAAGTAAGCCAGAAAGAGAAAGAAAAATACCATATGAGATCAATCATATGTGGAATCTAGAAACAAATAAACAAAAAACAAAGCATAAATACAGGACAGAAATAGACTCATAAGCATAGAATACAGACTTGTGGTTGCCAAGGGGGTGAGGGGTGGGAAGAGATAGACTGGGATATCAAAATTGTAGAATAGATAAACAAGATTAAACTGAATAGCACAGGGAAATATATACAAGACCTTATGGTAGCTCACAGAGAAAGGAATGTGACAATGAATATATATATGTTCATGTATAATTGAAAAATTGTGCTCTACACTGGAAATTGACACAACATTGTAAAATGATTCTAAATCAATAAAAAATGTTTAAAAAAAGAAAATGACATTTATTGGCATATAGTAACTATACAACTTGTAAACTTTTTCCCCCTGATTGTTAGTCACAGTAATAAGAGTACCTATGTAGCATATCCATATCAAAGGCAGAAATTTTCAATCATACTTGAGAACTTAACTTGAGAAGATCAGTCTGAGAGTCGTTGGATTCTGAACTGTCAGAGCCACGGCTGCTACAAAAAAATAATATATTATTTTAATTTACAGAATGTTTTGGTGGTACTTTAAAATTTCAACTGTTACTTTATTATCTTATTGGCATGTTAGAAATAGTTCTAAGTATAAGAAGAGTATTTACAAGGTGGTGTAGATGTTTAGTAGTTCTAGGCACTAGAAGAGTATTAGAAGAAGGCTCAAATTCACTGGAACTCATCAAATATAAACAGAATGAGTTCAGAATGATGCTCTATCTGCAAACAGACTTATTAGTCACCACTGGAGGTTGCAGGGGCACTAACTCAAAGTCTGAAAATTTATAAATAAAGGAGATGAATCAAACATTTCTGCTTTTCCTACAGGAACTGTACTAAAATTAGTACCTTCCTTCTTCCAATAACGTTCCCTTCATATTAAATTTTGTATTTGTTATTCATTAACTTAGAGTATTTATATGGCATCTGTATAAATGTGTCAGTTCTCTGTGGGTAATGACAGCATTAAAAACAATTTGAGTATATCTTTCACACATAGAACATTGTAAGTGCTCAATTAATATTATGTGAATAAATGAAGTCTTGATGAGGTCTGGCTAAAATAAAGAACTTGGGAAGAATTTTCCTCCATATATTGCCAGGATTTTCAGTACAGACTAACAATTATATCCTAGTATTATTATAAAGGGCATAGTAAAACAGCACAACAAATTACATTACTTCCACCATGTTGACATACCTGGATTCTAGATCCAATGTAATTTCTTTCAGAGAAGTATCTGAATCATCAAGAACTTTTTCCAAGTTTATATGTTTTTCCATTTCTTCTAATTCTTTTAGGCACTGATAATACTAGGGGAAAATGATAAATGAGTTAATTATAAAGTAGCTGTTTCCTAATTAAACTAACTGAATACTTATAGACCTTAGGATATTAAAAAGGAATAAACTATTGTAGGCCTACAGGCAGGGTACATTACATGAGAGGCTGGAGTCTGATGTATTACCAAATGGACTTTACTTACCTTAGTTTGGTCTGGATCACAGTAGTCCAAGAGAGAATCACAAAAATGATATCCCATTGACTCCAAGTCTTTTGTGTTGAAATGAGTGCCTCTTTTATTACCTAAAAAAATCAGTAAGTTTATCCATCCTTGAGGGTGAGTTAAACATTTTTTCTTAGCAGGCAGGCCCAAGTTGCAAAACAGAGAGTATAACCAAAACATCTGATATGACTCCATATTCTGCCCTTTGGATTTTCTGCTAGGGCAGGTCATTTAATAGCATATTGCTTTCGCTCGTTCCCTCTCCACCATTTGGGCCAAAGGTGACTTAATACAGATTCGTCTATGTTGTAAAGCAGAAGAAAATTCAATAAGAAAGTTATGGAATACTTGGTTACCAGTTATAAGCACCCTAATAATTACTCAGAGAAAAACTTGGGTAAATATTTCAATGTTTTCATCATCATTAATAATGTTATATCAATTTTAAGGTGCTTTAAAAACTAGCCAGAAGTTACATGTATGATTTCTAACACTTTCCTTTGAGCTGATACATTTTCTAATAATGTGCCAGTCACCTTAATATGGAGCATTCTAAGGATATGTTAGATGTGACTAAAAGCTTTCTTAAATGCAACTAGAGCAAACTTTTATTTTTAGTTCAAGGAACCAATTAAAATATAAATTGACAAAAAACAAAATAAAGCCCAGTCTATTTTGCCTTACAAACTGCAAATCCACGAAAAATATTTCTGTCCTGATATTTTAAGTATAAGCATTGCTTTTTCCTGAAATCATTATAGCCATTTGTAGGAACCCCTTAAAAAAATTCTTAGTTTATGAAACAACCATTTAGGTATCCTACACATATGCTAAAACTTCCTCTTCTCAACAAAGGAAAATGAAGCGATAGAGATACGTATAGTAGGAGTCTGTTTATTCAACCTATTTATAGAATTGATATTAGAATGTATCCAAGCAGGAAGAAAGTGCTCACTCTTCGGTTGTCTACACTAGCAGGCTTACGTTAAAAATGTCTCTGATTTAAACCTCTGACAGTCATGAATGAGAATCCTTGATCTTACCCAGTGTAGATCCACAAAAAGTGGCCTCCATGGTAAAGCTGTTCCTGATTCCCATTTTCCACATTACCACCCTTCCTGTTCCCTCTTTGCTCTTCTGAATATTAAACTTGCAAGCTGAGAATGAAAACTGGAAAGAAGCAAATAAAAATGAGACCCACTGCTTTTCTAATCACAATGTCTTTCTTAGGAAGTAGGGTTGAAAATGGAATGCCTAGTTGTGCAAAAGCAGTTAATTCTCTCTAAAGCTTCAGAAGCTACTTTTATTTCATGACAAATGGAAAGAACTCATTTTAAGGATGACATATTTACATTTCTGAGAACAAAAGATTTGAATTCTGGCAATAACATTTTACTTTTAATCTATATATAACATAATCATTCAAAACCAGTTAATTCTTGATAGTGTTGACTTTAAAAAGGTTATAGGAAGGAGCCTAAACATGCTTAGGAATCAAGATCAGTGTTTAATTTTCAGAATAGAATAAAGATGCTTTATTTTCATATGAAAGATAACTTGAAAGTTTTCCTGATTGTTGTAACATCAGCATATACAATGAGTTTTTGTAATTTTACTCACCATATAATTTAAAAAATTGACTTTGTGTTCCATTCTTTGAACTTTAACACATGTATAGATTTGTGTCAGGATATAGAACAATTTCATTACTTCTTAAAGACTCCCCTTTGCCGTCCCCTTGCAGTCGTAAGTATTTCATTTATTTTGGAGCTATGGTAAATGGCATTGTTTTAAATTTGGTTTCCAGTTGTTCTTTGTGAGTATATAGAAATGCATTTGGTTTTTGTGGGTTGAGCTTGTATCCTATGACATTGCTAAACTCAGTACTTCTAGGTGTTTTTTTGTGGATTGCTTTGGATTTTCTATGAAGCCAGTCACATCATCATCACCATTTTCCAATCTGTCTGCCTTTTATTTCTTTTTCTTGCCTTACTGTACTTGTTAGGACCTCCAGTATAAGGCTGAATTGAAGGGGTAACAGTGGATATCCTTGCCTTGTTCCTGGCCTTAGGAGGAAAAGTCTTTTATCATGAAGTATATGGTGGTGGGTAATGGGCATTTTTTCCTTCATATTTCCAATCATTGGTAACTAAACATTTCACATAGTTGCTTTCTTATGGTCAATTATATAAACCAGTCAAAATAACTAAATAAAAAAGCAGTTTACTGAGTAAGATTATCCATTCTTCTGTCTCACATGGGCAACATGTAGTAAAGGAGACAAAAATCTTAAAGGTGCTTACTTTATCTGGACAATTTTTGCTCAGCATAAGTGGAAAGATTCGTTGCTGTAGGTATAACGCTTTACACCTACCACTACTGTCACAGCCATACATGAAGATGTTCTCTTTCTTACTGTGGCCATGAAGGTCACAATATAAAATAACCTCTTGTTTCTCCATCAATCTACCGAGAAGAAAAAGAACAAGTTACTATATTTTACCTTTGCATTTTTCTTCTATGGTTTTAACTATGGATTTACAAGTCTAATATCCAAATAAACAGAATTTTTTATATCCTAGTTTTTAGTTTCTTTCTCTTCTTACCCATACTGCATATTATGATTAATATATAATTTTTAAACACCTACGATAAGTTCCTATTAATTGAATGTAAAATATGAATGGTTTAGCCTTCCATTATAAGGACAAAATTTACCTTGCTCCCAAGACTTTCTCCAACAGAATCCCTCTGCTTTTTTGTTTTCTGTTGTAAACAGAAAGCTCATTCCTAACTTTGCCCACTAGCTCTCACAGAGATTCTTTCTGACTAAAATACCTTTTTTCCTCAAAACTTGTAAACGTAAATACTACCCCTCATCCCTCAACACTGACCTCGCATCTCACTTCCTCTCTAACTAGTCAAGTCCATCAGTTTTTCTTTTTTTGAACTCCTATAGCACTTAGTATTGGTACCATTTACTTGGCACTTGTCTAGGTTAAGTTTTTATATTTTTGATATTAAGTCTTATTAAGGATAGAGAATGCTTCAAAACATCTAGAACAGTGCTGTGCACACAAGTACTCAATTATGTATTAAAACTTGAGTGCCTGATGACTTAGTGCTGAAGCCAATTAGTATTTAACTCTTGATTAATGTGATGAATAGGTATTATTTTGAGAAAAATGGTACCAAAGTTTGAAGTGATTGGTTTTCTGGTCAGTTTCTAATAAACAATTTAAAGAAATCACTTCTTAAGAGCACAATTCTTAGCCTGTATAGGCATTCAATGAATATTAAAGTAATAAAAAAATAAGCCCCCAAACTGGTTGATGAAAATAGCTAATAGGCTTTCAAAAGGTAAAAAAGTAGAGGTATTAAGGTAGGATTATGGGCATTTCTGTCTTTATTTTCATATTTCCAAACTTTGAATAGCATTATTATATCATTTAAATAACTGAAATTACACATACTACTTGTTACATCTGGAAGGATAAATACAAAATGTTAGCAATTTTTAGTAATATGAAATGTATTACTTTTGTAACAAAAACATTAAAACCTAAAATCAAAATATTCAAAGTACAGCTTCTGTTTGAAAAAATACTCCTTTAAACTACAGTGAAATCCCAAACTGAAGTCTGTTACATGTATAATTATTCTTTTTCACTTGGTGCCCAATAAATTTTAACTGATAACAAAAGATTGACCTAAAGCCACGAAATGATTACAAGTTTTTAGAAAAAGAACTAGATTATAAAGTAAGAATATTAAGTTAGCTCTTTAAATGAGATATACTGTACATTTTTAAACTGCTTCCCCAGTTTTAATGATTTTCGTTTCCTATAAGTAAGTCAAAAGAAACTTCTAAGTAATTAATTGCCAAAGAAATGTCACTACTTTTGAAGTGAAACAGGAAGGATATTAGCGTTTTTCATCCTATACTAACTTAAATCACTTTAGAAACGTTTTTTTTTCCTAACTCACAGGTAAGATACTCCAATCTCTTACACTAAGTATCCTATACTAAAATCTACTATAATTCTCAAATACTTTAAATACATTTAATTTTAGATATACTTATAGCTGCTCACCTTTTCACACATATGTGACTGACTTTTTATTCCATTTTATCTGTCTATGATTCTTAATGCCTGCATTAAGGTAGTTCTCCTTTCTGGAAGTCTTTCTGAAACTTACTGAATAGATTCCTGCTTTAACCTCCTTACAAGGCAATCTGAGGAGAACTAAGACATATAAAATATTTTCCATAGAGACAAGCCAAGGGCCTGTAATCCATCTTGTGTTGGGCCAGGCACCCTTAATGTCAAAGAGCATTAAGCAGACATTATAAACATTCTAACAGGCATCCCATCAGCTCCCTTTCTATAAAAAAATAAACTCTGAATTTTGGAATAACTTTAGATTTATACCAAATTGCCAAAATTAATAGAGAGTTTTCATTTACCCCTTATCCAGTTTCCCCTAATGTTAACATACCACAAAACGATGGTACGCTGTCAAAAACTAAGGAACTAACATTGGTGCATTACTATTAATTAAACTCCCAACCTTATCTGGCTTTCACTGGTTTCCCACTAATGTCCTCTTTCTGTCCCAGAATCCAATCCAGGATACCACAATGCATTTATTCAGCTTTCTTTTCATTGTCTGCCATCATCAGGGTTATTCTTTATTGCTTAAATATTCCCAAATGACTTTAAGGGAATCCTGAAGTCCACATTTGTGCACTTCACTCTCCAAGCGTCTAAGCAGATCAGAGGATTAACATGAAAGGGAAAGCCGAGGCTGAACTATGATAACTGGAGCCTTGAAGCCTCTTGAAGCCTGTCAGCCCCTCTGAGGAACTGAAGGTATACTTGAGGTCCTCCTCCTTGAAACAGGGCTCTTGTGTTTGCACTAGTGGCCCTGGTAACAAAGCAGGATGAGGATATAAACACTCTATAATAGTACTTACTACTGTAATACTTAAACAATCCTAAATAATTTACAGAGTTTTTACATCTATATCTAATTCATTAACAACTTTTTTTTCTTTTTACATTTGACGAAACACTGAATATACTTAGAGCTTCTAATATTTCAGGTTTTATTTTGGGCAATTTAGTAATAATATTCTCATTTAATCCTCTCATCTGTGAGGTATTATTATTGCCCCTTTATAGATGAGAAAACTGAGATTTGGATTTATTTTTAAATTGCTCAAGATACAGTTAGCAAATGATATAGCAGGGATTCCAATATGATATATTTTGACTCCAGTCTCCAAATTCTTAACCAAAAAGGTTAAGAGGCTTTGGACTTGGAATGGGTGTTCTTTGACTCCAATAAATCCTTCTATGCTAGCAATGTCTATTCATGATTATTATTACTTGAATCTATTAAAATTCACCCAGTAATTTAACAAATATTTAAATATTATGTGCATTTTACCATTCTGGATTCTGTAGAAAATGTAAAGCTGTTCATTTTTTTCTAGGGGCAAATAAGATTAATATTCATGAAAGTTTAAAGAACTATGTAACTGGCTAGTCAAAAGACTCATCATAGAGCAATATATGGTCAACATAGCGCTAGAAGACTCTGTGGGACATAATTAATTTTTACATATAAGGGATTCAAGGATCCCAAAGTAAACATCAGTGCTACCATTAGCTTTAGCAAGAAACCAAATCTGAGATATGCAAATTTAACTACGGTTCACAAAGTCATTAAAATGTTCTATTTTATTTCTATTTCATTTTTCAAAAGAAAGCTAGTTAATCTAGTGGCATATTGCCAGAAAGGTGTATAAGCAGAGTTGGGAAGAATGAGGAAAAGTTAAGTAGCTATTAGTTAAATCTTAAGAAAAGCTAGAGTAAAACAAGGGGGATTCTTACTATCTGGTTTACTACATAAGCAGAGGGTAATCTGAGGCTTATTTTACCTATGGATCATGTTCCGGGTATACCAAACAGAAGGATATGATTCCTTCAGGAGAGATGTATAGTTGCGGTTTAAATCCTGTCCAGCTAAGGAACACCGATAGTTTCCCACAATCACACCATCTGGATTCAGCATGGGTACCACCTTGAAGATGAAAGTGTCTCGAAGCAACTGTGCATCACTTGAGTCTCCTAAAATATAATCCAGGAAGCCTTTGATGATCCAAGAGCTGTTGGTTTCTCCTGGATGTACCCTTGCAGTCAGAATCACGGCCTTTCGCTTTCTTGTGTCAGTGTTCCTCAAGGGGGAAGTAATCGTTAAAACATACACCATGTTTCTAGCAATCGTGTGGCATAAGACACGTATTTTACAAAACTTTGACCGTACTGGGTCATTATTGATGCTAGAAAGGTATTCTTGCAGGTTGGTGTAAGTGTATGGGTAACAGTGAGCAAAGTAGCAGGTGTCTTTGTTGTGCGGAAACTGAAACGTCCATGTAAGAGAGAAATAGTGGCGCCCATCTTGTCCCTGGTTGTTCCTATAGTACTTGATTTGGTCTCCTATTCTCTGCCAGCCAATATTATGAGTGTTGGCCTCTTTTTCAGAATAAAACAGTGGGCGCATACCTCGATTATAAAGACTAGCAGGTTTCGTGAAATTGGTAATAGTGAATCTGTAGACTATTTCTGCTTGGGTATTAGTGACTTGGAAATAGTACCACTGGGTGTGTTTACTTGTGAACAGGTCAGGGCGCACAGTCAGCTGGTACTCATATTCTGCCCTAATACACAAAAGGAAGGGGGGAAAAGCACATAAAAATGTAAAAATGACACTGAAGTTTAAATGAATAAAAGTAATAAACATAAAAATAATAAATTATCTATTCATAGGGAGCTTTTTATTTGGAAAGCAGTGTTTATTTAGGCAGCATCCAACAGCAAATGATTGCTAAAGATAAAAGGTTTGAAATGTTCTTTTATTGGATGTGAAACTGCTTCTATGCTAATTCTAAAGCCTTTTTATTCCTCTGTAATTTCAGAGAACACCTGAAAAATGGGCATTTGATAAAAATCGTATATTTCAACCCAATTATATTTCCTGTAAGAAAATGATTAGAGTTCTCAAAACTGAATTAAAGTCCAATGTTTTCTTTATTTCGGACATATGTTATATATTAGATTCTAACTCTAGGAATTTGAAATATTTATCACTAAGAAAGATTTAAAACATAAATTAATATGAGCAAATGGATTACAAAATTTTAAACTCTGTGAGGACAGGAACTGTATTTGATAACTATTTGCATACCGCATACTTAGTCACTGAGAATACTTAAAAATAAAGGCCAAAATAATTTCACAAGTATATTATTAATACGTATAATAACTTTCTTGGTTAGTTGTGACTTTTTTCTCTTTACCAAGTGACTTCATATTCTGTCAGCATTATGCACTTACTGCATGTGTGTATAGTTATAAACTGTGAACTAGGAATAGGTGAAATGAATGTTGAAACCTTGTTGAATGTTGAATCTAGGTGATGGGTATGTGGTAGTTAATGTGGAACTATAATATGCTCTGTACTTAACTGCGGGTTTAAAGTTTTTCATAAAAACTTTTAGAAAAGAATATCCTTGGATTGCATGCATGTTCCCAAGCATATTTTGGGAACACTCATCTGAAGAACTATTCCATTAAAAAGTCTGAGGAGCAGTGAGTATGATAATTCAGATCGATATACTGAAAATGTACAGTACAGAGACCTGCTTAAATTCATAGTTCTCAGAATTGTTTAAATCCAGAATCTTTTATACTCCCCCCCTCCCAATAATCTCTAATTAGCATCTATACTTCAAGGAATTACAGCTCAGTAATGGATACATTAAACTTTAATGTACCTAACACAGAAAATAATACTTCAAAGACTAGCTCTTCAAATAAAAATAATTAAAACCTACACTTTGACTACCTTCTGTAGATTACCACTCTCAAACCTTGCTTCAAACATCAAAGTATCATCACAGTTATCCACAGGCTGCTTCAAGGGTGTTCGGTTGCCCCCAACTCGGGAATACACAAAACACGGCTCTTTGTAGGCTGATGAGACAAGACCATAAAGGTATCAAGCCATATTTAAAGTAAATAGGCTATTTTGCATAGTTTGGAGCCACAGTATGATTGAAGTGTCACTAAGGATTGTAAATTTTAACATATTTGACATTAACTTACAGGTTTATGTTGAAGTAAGAAAGTCTAAGAGTATTTAGACTAGAAAAGCAATGCCTAAAAAAATTCATATCTTTCTCACATTAAAAATACTTATTCAACTTCTGGTTATAATGAAGTAATTGGTCCTGAACTTGCCCTTTCACTGCAAATGACTATCAAACTGGAACAAAAAAATGAATTGTTTTCACGCATGTGGACAACATACAGACCACAACCAAATCGGGTTCTTGAAAGAAGATAACTACATGAAATAAGCCCATGTTTAATTCTGGTTTTCTCCCTAGGCGTACTTTCTAACTACCTCCTAGGAAGACGGCACTTAAGAACAGCATAACAGTCTTGCTGAGCTGAGGAGGCAAGACTGCTGTCTGGGGCTTCTGAAATTGGTATCTTGGGTAACCAGAGAGAAGACATGGAGGGCTTCAACAGTTTACCTGGTGGTTCCCCAGTCCTGGGCTGAGGGCTTGGCTGTCAAGCACAGGATAAGACCAAGAAAGACAGAACAGAGTGCTATCCTGTGGAACTGAGATACCAGAGGACATAACATTCTAGGACATAGTGGAATTCCAACCTGTCCAGCATAGAAAGACTTCACTGGGCACCTCAGCCATTCAGTTGTGACTTCAGAAAGGTTGTATATTAGGCATAAGAATCATATTCAGGAGTAAGGGCCATGACCTAGAACTAAGGACAAAATGAAAACATACCTGTTTTTATATTTAAAAAAACCCTAAAAGATACAAAATGATTTGCTAGCAATTTAGCTGCCTATCAGAACAAAATACAAGATAATTTTTAAAAAGAACATAATACTGACTCCTACCACGTATTTTTCACAATTTCTCACATACAGTCCACAACTATGAAGCATACAGAGAAGCAGGAAAATGTAATCCTGCTATATTTAACAGACCCCAAGATAACCAAGATGGTAGGATTAACAGAGGGGACTTTGAAGATATGTTAAGACTTAAAGGAAAAGATAATGAATAAATAGATCAAGTAATCTCTAAAAAAGGAATAGAAACTATAAACAGAACAAAATGGAAATTCTAGAAATAAAAAGTACAATGACGGAAATAAAAGATTTACTAGATGGGCTTAAAAGAAATTGAACTTTGCAAAAGAAAGATTCAGTGAACTGAAAACAAGGGCAGAGAAGAAAAAAAGAACAAAGATCTGGTGACACTTGGGACATAGCTAGAAATCTAATATATGTGTAAGCGGAATTCCAAAGGACAGAAGAGAAAGACTATTATGGAAAAAATATGTGAAGAAATAATAGCTGAAAATTTCTGAAATTTGGAAAAAACCAAAAAACCCTATTAGACTATGGCTCCAAGAGGTTCAATAAACTCAAAGCAGGATGAATACAAAGATAACCAAATTTAGGCAGGTCTCAGTCAAATTGTTGGAAAAAGCCAGAGAGAAGAAGATGTATCATATATAGGGAACAATGATATGAATCATGGCTGGCTTTCCATTAAAGAGAACAGATGTCATGAGACAATGGAACAGTATCTTTAAAGAAAAAAAAAATGTCAACCCAGAAGTCTGTATATCCAGTTGTTTGGGGATTTCCTTCTCCTACAGCTCCAGGTCTGGAAACCATTCTGTTCTCTTACCCTTTCAAGCCTCAGAGAAATAATGGTTCTGTTCTCTCGACAATTCTATGTTGTTGCTTCACCATCCTTTAGAAAGTCTCCCTTGAAGTAAATTGTGGGAAGAGGCAAGATGGCGGAGTAGAAGGACACTCGTAAGTCACCCTCTCCCACAAATACACCAAGACCCACATCTACAGATCCACTCAGCCAACCAGAGCACCTGCGGAACTCCGACAGAACATCGCCCTCTTCAAAAGATAAAGACGCCAAAAATCTGGTAGGAGAAAAGGAAAAAAGAAATAACAAAAGGCAAAGCAGCGCGGGACTGGTCCCGCGGGGAGGGAGCGGCAAAGGAGGACTGGCGCTCGCTGGCTGGGTCTCCCCCATCCAACTGAGAGGCCAGCGGGATGGAGGGGGAGCCTCCGAGGTTCGGATCTGTACAGAGCAGCCCTTGTCTGACAGAACTAAGTTAAACGGGCACAGAGCGTCCCCCCCAACACCCAGCCTGAGACGCGGGCCGGCAGTGGCGGGCAGGGCCAGGCTGCACAAGCCAGGCGGAGGACGGGGGCGGCTGCACGGAGTCAGCCCCGGGGGACTGCAAGGGGCTGGGCGCCGTGGCTGTGGGTGTACAGGACAGAACAACCTGGGCCCTCCATAAAACAGCAAGGTTGATGTGCTCTTGGGGGAAGGGCGCATACCCCCATCTCTGAAAACCCGCGGAAACTTTTCAGGGGAAGAGAGGCGGGGCTCAGGCACAGCCGCCATATTCTCCAGCACTGAGCACCCACGCGGGGGCAGAGGCGAAACCTGCATCCGCACAGAAAGGCTTAGCAGCCTCAAGGGCCAGACTGAGACGGGCCTACAGCCCGGGGCAGATAGGATCCTTCCATCCTGGTCCCTCAGAGAACTTGCTGCACAAAGACAAACAAGGAGCTCGGTCTTGGCT